GGGCGAACGAAGTCGAGGAAACCGGGCAGAGAGCACGTAGGCGGTGAGATGGGCGGCGACGGATTCCGGTGGGGCCCCGCCTCGCGGACCCGACCCCTTTTTTGCCCGGGGGCCGAGTCGCCGAGTCCTGAAAGTTTCCCTACCACCTAATATCCCCGCGTCTGGTTGTGAGACCAAGTCGTTCGGACAGTCGGCAGTCTGTCACGGGGCGAAGAACGGGAACCACACGGTAATCCCGGCCTTTTCCACGGAGAGCCGCTTTATTTTTTTTAATCCGCGAGGACGACAATCCGGACCGCGTCCGCGACGAACCGTCGTCCACGTTTCGGTATCCACCGTCGTGATCCTCTCTCTCTCTCTCTCTCTCTCTACCTCTCTCTATCTCTCTCTCTCGAGTGAAGTGCGTAAAAACGTAAGCCAGCTGGACAGAGCGAACAACGCGGAGGCGCGAGAGGGACGGACTCTCCTGCTCTGTCCCGGTGTGACTTTTGATTCCACGGTGCGCGAATCCCGCGCCGGTCACTGCGACAACTCGATCCGGGGGTTCGGCGTCGAGATGCTGACCGACATGACGCCGGCGGCGGCTGGTCAACTCTACCCCCAGCTACAGTCTATCGCGAAGTCGCCGGTGCACGGGCACGTGGTGAGTCTCCGTCTCTCTTAAGTCTTCTCTCCTCTCTTCTCCTTCCTTTCTCAACGTCGTGTGCGTCAATATTATCGTCCCGGCCGATCGCTCGGCTTTGCTTTCGCACCGTATGGTGGAAAATATCGAGATCCGCTGCTGCGGCTGTGTCCTGTGACGTGTGACGTTGCAAATTTGTATCTATCACCATCATGACTCGTGGAAAAAGGTCTTTGACATTAGTGAAAGGAACCCCCGTCGCGACGGGTTAATTTCTTGGTCGAGTTAGATCTACGATCTATCTCTCTCTCTCTTTCTCTCTCTCTCTTCGGAGCAAAAGTTCTCGAGTTTCATTGGGACATTAATCCCGGACTGAAAGAGCTCAGGAGCAGGTAGAGAGCGCGATGCCAAAGATTAGCTGCTACCGATTCCTTCACACCTCCGATAAGATCGCTGAGATTTCCTCAAAGGTGTATGTACTTTGACAACCGCCTTTAATCGCCGACGCTGTATGGTCATCTCAGGCGTCAAGGCAAATGTCATCTTTTTGATCTCCGACGCCAATTTGCTCGGTGAACTTTGTCTTTGAATCACGGAAAAGAAAATCGTTCTGTGCGTGAATTATATTTGAGATTGCAAACACGGCGGCAATTTAAATAGTTAAAGTTGATAAACATTTCGTGTGATTTACGTGGATGCTGCGCAACTAGACATTAGCGGTAAATTACTTTGCTATTATTTGTAATTGCTACAATAAGACGATTCGATTATCTATATACAAAAACTATACGCTTTATTTAATGTATAATCATATGTTGCGAGGTTTTTATTCCAACGTGCAGGAGTGATAAATGAGAAGGTTGATTATTATCTGTAGCACAACAGGTATTTAGTTATTCATGATACATCTGGAGCATTAGAACGATATAGCAATCAATAGTCTGCAAACCATATCATTTGTTTATACAGCAGTTCAATAATCAAGATAAAAGACGCAATCTCGAAATATTGATATATTACGTTATAAAATAGTTTGCATTAATCATCAACGTACCATTAATACATTAGTTTCTTAAGTTTTTTATCGAATAATTGAGCGCGATTGGATAAAATTTATTTGTACAATTATTTTTAATAATGTCTACGTTAATAATATCGATATGAGTAAAAAGAGACACACGCGACAATTCATCGTTCGCTTCATTCACCGTTACTGCGTAATAAATTCTTATACGTTATTTAACGATTAAGACTGCAAGTTAAGGAAAGGCAAAAGTAGAAACACATTGAAATATCAACTATTACTTGCGTATAAATTGTAAATTAGTAAATCTTGATACGAGCGCGGTAACCTTTAACGTCTTATGACGTCTAAGTGATCAATGTTGAATGTGTCAACGTTGAGAAAGGAGTAAACCGTTAGTGTTACGCAACCGTCATATCGCGCGATTGCAAGAGTTTTGCAACGTACATGCATGCTAAGATCTTGATCGAGGATTAAACGATTCTCACGACAAATTCGAGGAATCGCCTACGCGGAAAAGTGAACAGAGCCGTACAACTTTTCGTACGTGCGTTAAAGTATCAGGGTGATCTTTCGCGTAATCAATCAAAATATTAGATCTTAAACGAAGATACCGAGCGATTTATCGTGCTGAAAGTATATATACTTTATATATATATAGAAAGTATATATATATAGGAGTACCCGTATACGGAATTGGCGCGGCCGCCTTTCGGCGTGTAAAACGGAACGACACGCTGCAGGTTGCGTTACGGATCGGACGCGAAATATCGGAGATAATCTGACGATGATAAACTCCGTGAGTATATCCTTCAGCTTTCGCGATGCCCGTGGCCGGCCGCAACATGTGCCCGCTCGTTGCTCGAAGCTCTTTATTTTATGACTCGGCAGGAAGGACGACGGCGGTCGTCGTGCGGGCCCAGCGAGATGATTTACGAGTCGACGTAAAAAAGTAATTAAATCCCTGCCGTCAAAAAGGAAGGCGTGCGCGCGAGCGCGGGTATTAATTAAGTCAGGCAGAAAGTTTCCTGCGTGCCGCGTCGAGTATTAATGTCGGCGAAAAGTCGCATATCGCGTCGATGGACACCGCGCGTCTCTCCTTCGGGCCGATCCATCGCCGGCCAGCTTCCGGTCTGGCTTTTTGCGGACTCTCGTTACCTCGCACACACACACGGTCCTCTCCATTCCGCGTTGTTGACTCGCTATTTGTTTCTCCGCTTAAATTCCCTCCCCCCCCGCGTCTCTTCGCAACGGCGAACCTGTTTTCGCGCGATTCCCATAGCTCGCCCGTCGCGCCGTGTCGCTCGCGAGTCTTTTTTTGCGAGCCGCGCGGCCGTTTTTGCATCGCTATGAGATTATTCATAGACGGCGATCCAGATTCGTCCATGATCGGCCGTTCGTTCTACGTAACTCGCGTTTGCGATTAACCGTAAATTCCGGATGAAGGAAATTACAGAAGAATTCGAATGCGAATTCGTTTCAGGGAATCAAACGGGTTTTTATATACGCGTCTAAAAAAAGACGTGTGTGTCTAGATATTAGAGAAGCGTCCACGACAATTTTCTACTGCAAGATGATGGTTCTTATCTCTCTCCTCCTTACCGCCCCCCACCCCACCTCACCCCGCGAGAATCCTTTCAAAGTATTTCCAGCTTCTATCGAGGGAAAAAATCGTATATATATATATATATACCAGGTTTCATCTATAAATCGGAGATGTCCCGTTTTTACCAAACTATACACGGCCACGTTCCTTTGCCGATGTCGAGCCACTCGATCCGAATGTATCGAGTGTCCCTCGCACAATGGTCCTTGCGCAAGGTTCTCAGGACTGAAAAGGACTCGCCCTACCTGTGTATCCGAGGAGCCAATTATTTGTCCGATCTCCTTTGTGCGCCGGAGGAATCCACTTGACAGGATGCGTGGGATGGAAACGCGATGCCTACTTCCTTTCGCCACCCGATCCCGCCAATAAGATACTCTCTCTCCTCCCGCGAGGGTCTTGTCGCTTTGTTTCTTTCTCTTCACCCTGTCTCTCACGTCGTCAATGGGGGTTGTGCGTCCTTAAAGGGCCGTGAAATGGTCCTGGATGGCGCGACGTGTTGAATGGGGATTGAGAGACCTCCGCGTTACGCGTCGATTAATACACGCTCGACTAATCGCGGCGCGACGAGAGGAACAGAGGCGAACTTTGTCGCGCGCGACGTTAACTCACCGTTTATACACGCATACGACGCACGTTCTCCCTCTTCTTTCCTCCCCGGGGTCGATTGGATAAGAATGTCAACAACCCTAGTTTCGATACGACGCCGCGCGACGTTTCGATCGTAAACTTTCAACTTTTTTTTTTTTTCTTCAAACGACGCATACATCTCGTCGGACGTTACTGTCACTATATTGACTAGTTCTTTGCCGTTGACGGTGAAATTTTTACATTGTTATGCAATTAAATTTTCACGATCGGAAAAAATCAAATAAATCTATACACAGCTATGATATCTATCTGAGGAAAGGAAGAGGAGAGCGATGCATAATGTATGTGTTTAGGGGTATAAAGATATGTTACTTTCTTACTGCTCCAATGTCATGCATTAATAAACGCGACACACGCAAAACGGCACACGCTGAACCTTCGTCACGTTGAAGTCTATAACATGAAACTACCTACAAAACTTGGAGAGAATTTTCTTGGTAAAGTTATACGTCGGCACGCTACATTGGAGAGACGTGAATCCGAGGGAAACCAAGCAAGCGTGTCACGCTATACGAACGGCTCAGCGGCGATGCAGCAGCATTGTCTTTCTAGCGATCGATCCCGGTGCGTCATTAATAGTTAATACTTCGACCGACGAAGCCTGGAAATATCCCTGGAACCGCAGTAACTAATTCACGAACGACTCCGCCGCGCCCCGTCGCTTTCTTCGTTGACATAATATCTTTGTTTCCAACGGGCTACGCTACTTCCGCCTCTCTCTCTCTCTCTCTCTCTCTCCC